AAACTTTTTCGAAAACAAAAGTCGGTAATTGAAACTAAAGTCCGACTATTGCGTGTTCTTTCCACTGGCAGTCATTCAATGGCGCCTGACTATTGACATACTCTTCCACTGATTCCCCTCGAATTCGACGCTGTCTGATTAAACTCTGCTTTTTCTACTGATTCCTCTCTGTATATAACTAAATCTATATTTTTCTTTATTCTTTTATAATTTGTAACTAATTCTATTTATTATTTCTTTATTATTATTTATTTCGATTTTTTTTAAATTATTAATTATCATTATTTATTTATTATTAATTTAATTTCTAATTGAATTAATTTTAATTAATAATTAATTTTTCCATTGTCTCATTTTTCATTTATCCCTCTCTCTGATTAATAAATGAATGAAGAGAAATATTTAATAGTAGATTTTAAAAAGTGTATTTATAAAAAAAATTACATAAAAATTCATATTAAGTCTTTTTTCAAATAAAATTAAAATTTAACGAGATTAAGAGTAAAAAAATTCAACCATATTTCAATTTTTAATAATTTTGTATTCAGAAATCAATTTTATTTACGTTAAATATTCATAATATTTAATACTTTATTAAGTCCATTCGGTTCTGAATTTTTCAACTAAATTCTCGCTCTTTTGTCGGCGTTTCCATATATTGACTTCTACTATATTTTTCCGAAAGCCAAATTAATTATTGAAATTTAAAAAAAATCCATTATCAACTTCGTTTTTACCTATGAATTTTTTCTTTTTTATTTTAATTTTATACTTTTACATTCTATTAAAAATATTGCTGACCACAATATATTCAACAATTGAATTATTCATCATTTTTTTTCATATTCGTTTAATTGATAATAATTTGTTTTTAAATCGTACATATCGAGAGGTGTACTATTATTTCCTGTGAAACCTTTTTGAAATTTAATTAATTCTAAAAATTATTTCTGTAACGTTTTTAAAATTGAAGAAATGGGAAATTTTCTCTTATTTCATTTAAAGAAATTTTATAATTCACAGAATTTTATATTCTTACTTTAAAAAATTATTTTCAAAATATTATTGGATTTTTTGAAGCGAATTGAAATTAAAAATTTGGAAAACAATTTTATGATTTCATTAATTTATTATTGCAGAAATTAAATTAGTTTACAAAAAATTTTAATAAAACTCTTGGGAAGAATTCAATTTTCTTCATGAATTATAAAATTCTTCTTTGGAATTCAATTATTTTGAAAATTTAAAAAAAAACTGTTGACAAGAATTCAATTATTCTTGTAAATAATTGAATCCTTCATAGAAATTCAATTACTTTTAATTACTTTCAATTATTTTTAAATTAAATTTACCATATAAATTCAATTATTTTCAAAAATTTTAATAAAATTCTTAACAAATTCAATTATCTTGAGTAATTATAAAATTTTTCTCTGGAATTCAATTATTTCAAGAATTTTAAACAAACTCTTGACCAGAGTTCAATTTTCATTGTAAATAATTGAATTCTTTATAAAAATTTTATTATTTTCAATACAAATTTGAAATAAAACTTTTTTCATGAATTCAATTATTTTTATAAATAAATAAAATTTCTCGAAGGTTTTTAATTATTTTCAGTTGAAATCTTAATTAAATTTATGGCAAAAGTTAAATTATTTTCCAAAATATTTTAAAAATTCTTTGCAAGCATTCAATTATTTTCCAAAATTTTGATAAAATTCTTTAGAAGAATTGATTTATTTTCAGTCCAATTTTTAAAATCGTCGAAAGAATTTAAATTTTCTTCAAAATAATTGAATTTGTATTTCTACAAATTTTATCCTATATTAATTAAATTTTTTGCCCATAATTTTATTAAAACTTGGTTTTTATTAATAGAATTGAACTCTTTATTACAAATTTTACTCATTTATTTATTAATATTTTTGAAAATAATTGAATTTTTTCGAAGAATTATATTAAAATTCTTGAAAGTAATTAAATTTTTTTGAAAGGATTTTAATCAAAATTTTGGAAAATAATTGAATTTCTTCGAAGAATTTTGTTATTTACGAAAATAATTGAATTTTAGCGAAGAATTTTGTTATTTACGAAAATAATTGAATTTCAGCGAAGAAATTTTTTAATTATGAAGATAATTGAATTCTGTACCAGAATTTCATAGAAATTTTTGGAAAATAATTAAATTTTTGCTAAGAATTCTGTTAGTTATGAAAAAAATTGAATTGTTAACAAGAATATTATTAAAATTTTTGAAAATAATTGAATTTTTTAAGTGAAATTCTATTAAAATTGTATTAAAAATAATTGAATTCCATGGAAATTTTTTTTATTTACGAAGATAATTGAATTCCTAAAAAGAAAAATTCATTATTTATGAAAATAATTGAATTCTTGCTAAGAATTTTATATTTCAAATAATTTCATTTTCAAGCTATAAAAAATTATTTTGAAATATCTTTGTATTTTTTGAAGCGAAATGTAACTAAAAATTTCGATTTTTCAATTTAAATAATTCAATTATTATCGTTGAATTCCGAAATGAGAATTGATTTAAAAAAGATTAAATTTAAAGATTTAATTAAAGATGAAAGTATTTAATTAAATTAATTAATTAAAGATTAAATTAAAGATTAAATTTTTAAATAATTTTATTTAAAAAATTCAAAAAAAAAAATATTTATCCACTTTGAATAATTTAAGTTGTAATTTTTAGAAATAATTAAAATTTAGAAGATTTTTCATTGAAATTATTTGCAATTTCAATTGAAATAATTAACAATAAGTCTTTAAATATTTTTTTAGGAAAAAATTATTCAATTTTTGAGTTTAATTTAGAAATTCTAAAAAAAAAAAATTAGATTATTGAAAAATTTTATTTAGAAATTCTGAAACAATGAAATTTGTTTCTAAATATTCAGTCAAACATGATTAAGTTTAATTGGAACATTTTTTTTTGTTTCTTTAGAGAAATAAAATATTTAATTCAATCATAAGTTTTGGTTGATTTAAAATTATTTATAATCGACTTTCACTTCACTCTCACTCTCACTCTCACTTTAACTTTCCTTTCACTTCAATTCACTTCACATTACTTCCACTTTACTTTCACTTTACTTTCACTTTATTTTCACTTTACTTTTACTTTCCTTTCACTTCAATTCACTTCACTTTACTTCCACTTTACTTTCACTTAACTACACTTTACTTTCACTTTCCTTTCACTTCAATTTACTTCACTTTACTTCCACTTTACTTTCACTTAACTTCACTTTACTTTCACTTTCCTTTCACTTCAATTCACTGAACTTTACTTCTACTTTACTTTCACTTAACTTCACATTACTTTCACTTTCCTTTCACTTCAATTCACTTCACTTTACTTTCACTTGACTTCACTTTACTTTCACTTTCCTTTCACTTCACTCTCACTTTACTTCCACTATACTTTCACTTAAGTTCACTTCACTTTCACTTTTCTTTCACTTTAATTCACTTTACTTCCACTTTACTTTCACTTCACTTTACTTCCACTTTACTTTCACTTTCCTTTCACTTCAATTCACTTCACTTTACTTCCACTTTACTTTCACTTAACTTCACTTTCCTTTCACTTCAATTCACTTCACTTTACTTCCACTTTACTTTCACTTAACTTCACTTTCCTTTTACTTCAATTCACTTCACTTTACTTCCACTTTACTTTCACTTAACTACACTTTACTTTTACTTTCCTTTCACTTCAATTCACTTCACTTTACTTCCACTTTACTTTCACTTAACTTCACTTTACTTTCACTTTCCTTTCACTTCAATTCACTTCACTTTACTTCCACTTTATTTTCACTTAACTTCACTTTACTTTCACTTTCCTTTCACTTCAATTCACTTCACTTTACTTCCACTTTACTTTCACTTAACTTCACTTTCCTTTTACTTCAATTCACTTCACTTTACTTCCACTTTACTTTCACTTAACTACACTTTACTTTTACTTTCCTTTCACTTCAATTCACTTCACTTTACTTCCACTTAACTTCACTTTACTTTCACTTTCCTTTCACTTCAATTCACTTCACTTTACTTCCACTTTATTTTCACTTAACTTCACTTTACTTTCACTTTCCTTTCACTTCAATTCACTTCACTTTACTTCTACTTTACTTTCACTTAACTTCACTTTCCTTTCACTTCAATTCACTTCACTTCACTTTACTTCCACTTTACTTTCACTTAACTTCACTTTCACTTTACTTTCACTTCACTCTCACTTTACTCTTAGTTCACTTTCCAATTAATTTTTGTTGAATTTAACTTAATTTTAAAATTTTAAGAAAATTTGGAATGTAAATAAAGTTTAATAAAGTTTATCATAAATAGAGTGACAGTAAAAGTGAAGTGAGAGTAAAGTGAAAATAAAGCGAGAGTAAAGTTAAAATAAAGTAAAGTGAGGTAAAAATAAAGTGAAATGAAAGTGAAATGAGAGTGAAGTGAAAGTGAAGTAAGAGTGAAATGAGAATGATAGGAAAGTGAAGTGAAAATGAAGTGAACTCACAAAATCGACCCACTAGTTATATTCTAGTTTATATATAATTAATTAATATCTATTAAAAATAATCTTGAAAAAAACAACTATTAATTTTATTTTATACCAACTAATAGGTGGTAAAGTAGTATAAATTCTCGACAAAAAAAGTTGCTTTTAGTGGCTGAAACTGAAATCTAAAAAAAGTATACCAAAATAGTATCAAATCGTAAAAAAGTAGTAAATAGGTTTTAGTACATGAGTGCAAAGTCTGAGATTTGGGAGTAAAATTATACCTGGTTTACTATACAACGGAACGCAACGGAACGCAACGGACTTTCGTTATTATTTCTGATTATATAGACATTTCTGCCGTTTCTGCAAGTAAAAATTAATTTGCTCATCTCTTCTCGGTAGTTTTGTTTTTCGATTCGCTGCTGCCTCGAGATATAATCGTTCGTGTGGTTTAGTGGTTAGTCGTAGAATCCGTGGGCGTAGAGTAAGAGGATGCTGGTTGAAACCTCTGCGAGAGAGAGAGTAAGAGAGAGAGAGAGAGAGAAATAGAGAGAGGGTGCAGAATCCACCCTCTGAATACGTGGGTGTTCGAAAGCCAAGCGGTTGGCAACCCGGCGTACTAGTCACAAATTCACTTGCGCGACAACACGCGCGAAAATCTTCAGTTCAACCACGACCGTCGTGCGAGTAGGTTCGGTCCTCGTGTACTTTTATTATCTCCCTTTTAAAAAAACAACTCTTTCCCCCCCTTTTTTTCTCGTCACGCGACTTTTTTTTTCTAAACAAAAAAAAATTGTGCTTTTCTTTTCTTTTTTTTTTTGTCTGTTTTTTCTTCTGTGTGAAAACTTTCTACAATACAAAAGCAGAAAGGATGTGATTGACCAAGAAAAAAAATAATACCTGCAAAAATGGCACCATACAGACTTCTCTTTTTTTCGCTTTCGTTTATTGCTGTCTTCTTGACCAGCGGTGAGTTTTTATGACAATAACATTCATGCGATTATATTTTCATTCTGAAATTAATTAAACTCTCTTGTTTTTTTTTTTTTTAAACAACTGTAACACAGTTTTTAACTTAATGAGAATCAAATTCGTGATTATATTTTCATTCCGAATTAATTAAACACTCTTGTTTTTTTAAACAATTGTAAAACACTTTTTTCTAAATATTAGTAAATATACAAAATATTAGTAAATATACAAAATATTAGTAAATATACAAAATATTAGTAAATATACAAAATATTAGTAAATATACTAAATATTAGTAAATATACAAAATATTAGTAAAAATTTAGTATCAAATTGACACTAAAGCGAATCAAAATTGATGCCGAATATTTGGATCAATTTTTGATTATGATCCACATACATTTATTGGTATCAATTCGTTGCATTTTGATACTTTTAAGCTCATTTTTTAAGCTCGTTTTTATAAGCAAGCTTTTAAGTTAACAGTGAAAAAAAAAGTTTTTACAGTTTTAAAATTTAAACCTAAGTACAAATTATAGTCTCTCCTGCAGGAGAACAAAAAAAATATAGTTATTTATCGAATTTAAAACTAAAATACGGAGCCAGAGAGGGTTTTGTTTGTTCGCATAAAATTTGATATCCATGCAAATTTTTAGTAAACATTTGTCAAAAAAAAATATATATTTATTTTTTTAGAAATCCATTTGCATTTCTCTATTCTATTCTTTTACTTTTTTTGCACTATTTTTTTTTAGTTATTTTTGTTTCTGACAAAATAGGTGAAATAGCAGAGATCTCGGACTGAATTTAGAAATAAAAAATTTATAATAGTATGAAAAATGTCATAAAATGTTCGTAATGGTTGCAAACAGTCGCACTTAAAATATGAACAAATTTTCATTTATTTACAAGAGTGTTTGAATAAAAAGCGTTGTAAATATTACATTAAAAGCACAATTTTCCCTTTCCTTGACAATAAATAAACAAAATTTTTTATTCAAAACACTTTATTTAAAGTCTGTATTATAAAAAGTAAAACAGAACAGTATTTATTATTATTATTATTATTATTATTATTATTATATTTAAAAATAAAATTTTTAAGCAGTATTATACTTTAAATTTGCTAATGAAGTTAAAATAAAAAAATTATTCTCAAAAGTATTGATAAAATTCATAGAAACAATTTAAAAAATTTTAATATAAAATTCTTTAAAACGATTCAATTATTTTCAAAAACTTTTCGAAATTCAATTACTTTCAAGTATTTAAGTATCTATTATTGTAATGGAATTTTTTTTTTAAATAATAATTATTTTAAAAATTTTTTATAAATAATTTTGTATTTTAAACAAATTTTTGAATAAAATTCTTTGCAAGAATTCAATTATTAATAATATTAATATAAACAATAGAATTCATATCAGGATTTCAATTATTTTTTATACAATTTTATAATAATTACAATTATAAATTATAATGAAAATAAAATTATTTTCTAAAATTTTAATAAAATCATTTGCAATAATTGAATTATATATTATATTATCATTGGTATAAAATTCTTCTGAAAAATTCAATTATTTAAAAAAATTTTAATAAAACTCTTGGCAAAAATTCAATTATTTTTATAATTTACCAAAATTTTAAGCCAAGAACTCAATTATTTTTAATGCAATTTCAATAAAATTTCTCGATGAAATTCAATTCCTTCTGAAAAATGTTATAAAATTCTTCAAAAGAATTCAATTAATTTCACAAATAATAATAAAAATTTTTGCGAAATTTTAATTATTTAAAAAAATTGTTATAAAATACATGACAAAAATTCTATTATTTTTGTAAATAACAAAATTCTTTTCGCAGGAATTCATAATGATTTTTAATAATTTTCATTAATTACTTTTTACTAAAATTCAATTAATTTCATAAATAATAAAATTTTTTTACTGGAATTCAATTATTTAAAACAATTTTAATGAAATTCTTCGCAAGATTTCAATTATTTTTTTATAAATATAATAAAACTCATTGCAAGTATTTTAATTATTCTTAATACAATTTTATATTATTTAGTCGAAAATTGCAATTATTCTTAAAAATATTATTAAAATTCTTCTAAATAATTTAATTGTTTTACAAAATATTGATAATGTTCTTTTTAAGAATTTAGTTTTATAAGAAATATTCAATTATTTAATAAATTATTTTTTTCTATTTTAATAATTGATTTCTCGTAAAAATAGTATTTTTCGGTTTTGAGACATTAAAAATAGTATTTTTCGTTTTTGAAACAGTAAAAATAGTATTTTTAGTTTTTGAAACAGTAAAAATAGTATTTTTCATTTTCGAGCTGGTATTTAGTTTTTGAAACAGTAAAAATAGTATTTTTCGGTTTTGAGACATTAAAAGTAGTATTTTCTGTTTTTGAGACAGTAAAAATAGTAATTTTCGTTTTTGAAACAGTATACATAGTACTTTTCCTTTTTGAGATAGTAAAAGTTATATCTTTCGTTTTTGAGACAGTAAAAATATTACTTTTAGTTTTTGAAACAGTAAAAATAGTATTTTTCGGTTTTGAGACATTAAAAATAGTATTTTTCGTTTTTGAGACAGTAAAAATAGTAATTTTCGTTTTTGAAACAGTAAAAATAGTATTTTTACTTTTTGAGATAGTAAAAGTTATATCTTTCGTTTTTGAGACAGTAAAAATATTACTTTTAGTTTTTGAAACAGTAAAAATAGTATTTTTCGGTTTTGAGACATTAAAAGTAGTATTTTTTGTTTTTAAGACAGTAAAAATAGTAATTTTCGTTTTTGAAACAGTATAAATAGTATTTTTCCTTTTTGAGATAGTGAAAGTATTTATTTTCGTTTTTGAGACAGTAAAAATAGTATTTTTAGTTTTTGAAACAGTAAAAATAGTATTTTTCGGTTTTGAGACATTAAAAATAGTATTTTTCGTTTGTGAGACAGTAAAAATAGTAATTTTCCATTTTGAGACAGTAAAAATAATATTTTTCATTTTTGAGACAGTAAAAATAATATTTTTCCTTTTTGAGCTAAAAAAATAGTATTTTTCCTTTTTTTCATTAAGTAAAAAAATAAAATTTTGTTCACGCGCTAAATCTATATTGATTTACAACCAGAATAATGAAAGAATTAACTTTAATTTATTTCGACTTTTGTTTCATTAAGAGCTAATTGTTTGTTTAATGCTTTCCTCTTCTCGCCCGCAAAAGTTTCACTCGCACTCAATGGTTTCTTTCCACTCTCATTTTTCTCGGCTCTAATTTCGTCGAAAAAAAAAACATTGGAACGAATAGAGAAAGAGAGAGAGAAAAAAACAGAAAAGATTTATGTCAAGACGAGAAAATCTTGTGCGTTGCTTTAATGCAAAATGTCCCATTACAAGTAATTGAATAATCAACTACCACAGCACGCGCTCATCACTATACATATTTCCCTCTGGGATTCTAGAATCGAAGTAATTTCGTTATTGTCGAAAATTTCGTTATCAGCCGTTGAGTTAAAAAATTTTATTTTCTAATTATTCCCCCAACTAAGTGTGTCAACATAGAATAATGAAATTCTCATAAAATTCAATGTAGCTCAAAATTAAACTTTATGACGTATTTTCGATATTTTTTACACTTTCAGGTTTTTTCTTTTCATCTCAAAATAAAAGTGACCTAAATAAATAGAGGAAATTCATTTTTAATTAATAAAAATAAACTAAAAATATTTTTAAAGAAATAAAAAAAATGTTAAAAAATGTAAGAGATGTTCAAATTAGCAAAATTTACCCTTTCATTAAAATTATAGGCAAAAAAAAGTTGAATTAATTTATTTTGATTGATTTTTTTAGAAATTGAGATTCATGAGGGAAAATAATCGAAAGAAAGACTTTAGTTCAATAAAAAATTTATCTATAATTGGCTAAAATTAACGTTTGAGTTCCACGTATGTTCTTTAGCCTTTAATTTCGCGAAACGGAGTAAAATTATTTTCGATTTCGTTTGTACAATTATTGAAGTATTCAATATGGGATTTTTTGTCTACAAAAAGCAAGCTGGAGGAAATTGAATTTTTTCGAAATATTTTCAAAGAGTCTGCAGTGCTTTAATAAACTGGAAAAAAATTATTTCCTCAATACAGACAAATTTAGATGAATTTTTTTTTATTTTATTTTTTTTATAACAATATTAATAATCATTATTCTCAACAATTATTTTCATTTTTATAATTATTATTTTTAATTATTTTCATGAAAATTATTATTTTCAATAATTACTTTTATAATAAATATTATTTTTAATAATTATTTTTTATAATAATTATTATTTTCCATAATTTTCTTTTTTATATAATAATTACTATTTTCTATAATCATTTTTTTATAATAATTATTATTTTCCATAATAATTTTTTTACAATAATATTATTTTTAATAATTATTTTTATAATTATTATTTGTAATTATTGTTATGAAAATTATTATTTTCAAATATTATTTTTTATAATAAATATTATTTTCAAATATTATTTTTTATAATAAATATTATTTTCAATAATTATTTTTATAAAAATTATTTTTTTTTAATAATTATTTTTTATAATAAATATTATTTTCAATAATTATTTTGATAATAATTATCAGTATTTAAAATTTGATAGAAAAAGAAAAAAAATAACAATGGCGGAAATTTGGACGCAATAATATTAAAGTTAAATTTTGTTTTTAGAGAGAGAATAATCTCATTTTCTCTTAATCAAAATAAAATTGGGATTTGTGATTTTATTGGCTTGACAAAGCTGAATGTAAAGCTACGGATCACGTATGTCGGAAATAGTCAACGAAAGTTATTTGCCATCCGTCGAATTGCCACACGATGGATGAACATTTTCGTATTCTTTCCAAACGAACACACTGTCAATGATTTTTCAATTCTTTTCCTTTTCTTTTTCAATATCTATTTTTTTTCTCTTCTTTTTTC